TCTCATCATCATATGACTGCCAAACTACACCATAACTGCCAAATCACTGAGAAGCATGGCCCAACCAAGTGGACAAACAACCTTAACAATCATGAATTATGTCCCCAAAAATATGTGTTGTAAATCCTAACCTCTATGCCCATGATTATAATCCCATTTGTGAATGGGTTGTTATGTTAATGAGTCAGGATTAGTGCAGAGTGTATCCTGAGCTAATCTCTTTTGAGATGTAAAGAGATTAAACAAGCAAGCTAGAAGCAGAGATGAGGGGAGACACATACCAAGTCACATGAATATCACCCAGGTACAGAAGCTCAGAAGAGACAAGGACCTTCCTCCAGAGCCAACAGAGAAAGAAAGCCTTCCCCTAGAGCTGGCACCCTGAATGCGGACTTCTAGCCTCCTAAACTATGAAAAAAATAAGTTTCTATTTGTTAAGGCCACCCATTTGTGGTATTTCTATTATAGCAGCACTAGATAACTAAGACAATTGGTTTCCTCAATTCCTGTAGTCTTGTTTTTCACCAATGCCTTCATTGCAGCTTGGACTTCTTCCTTCAGTACCAACTGTTCTGTGAGTCATCAGCTTGTACCCTCCCAGCCCTTGGGCTGGGTAAGCTTCTTAGCAGCAAGTGCTGTGGAAAAGTCTATAAACCCTGGTGCTAAAGGGCAAAAGTACTCACCCGGCCTCGCTCGATTTCTGGGAACACAGAGACAGGAGTTTGCTGGTTCAGTATTTTGTCTGAGAGTTAATTAGCTGCTATCTTCTTCCCAATGCAGTGGACAGACGTTCAGGAAGAACTAATTTTGTAAGGAAAGGAGGATGGAGATGGTTGATCTTTTTCTTTGTGTAGAGAAAAAGGAATTTGCTCTGAATTTGGTTCATCCAACACTAAATGGCTTTCTAAGAGACCTGCATATTTTAGCTGATCCCATGTTTCTCCCTATGTGACAAGTGACCCAGCTTTGAATTCTAAACTGGACACTTCTAGCTAGCAGTTTTCTAAACTTACTGCCCCTTAATCACATCATCTGTAGAGCGGACACAGTCACCCTTAACTGGGAAGTTGTGAGATAACATATGTGAAAGCTTAGATCCAAGTTCACACTTGGAAGCAATGATTCTGAACTGAGGGCAATTTTGCTCCCCCTCCCCCCTGCGCCCAGGGCACATTCGGCAATGTCTGGAGACATTTCTGGTTGTCACCACTTGAGGGTGCTACCAGTATCTAGTAGGTGGAGACCAGGGATACTGCAAAACATCCTACAATGCACAGGACAGCACACATACACACACACAACAAGGAATTATCCAACCTAAAACGTTAATAGTGCTACAGTTGAGAAGCTTGCCTTGAGAATCTGTCATTATCCATCTTTCCTTCTGGAATGGGAAAGAGAGAGGAAAAAACGAAAAAAAAGGAAACAAGGAGACGATCTTCAATGTACGATTTAATAAAATTCCTGGCTGTGATAGTGGAAGCAAGAGGCCTCAAAATCAGGGGTCCAGGCAAGTAATATAAATAAGGAAAGTAGCCCAGGGAGTGTGGAGGGAAGCAACACACAAGGACATTAGAAATACCTCAAGTACCTTTTATTGTAGTATAAGAAAAATAGCTCCACATGCACAACAAAAATGGCATCTGCCACTCTACCTCAAGTTCCGGAAGCAGTAGAAAATGGTGGGGACAAAGGTCAACTGGAAAGAGTAGATAGCCACTACTCACTCCTGCTGACAGTTATTGTGCAACACAGGACTAAAGAGGAGTAGAACTTTTTTCCTAAAATAGTCTAGTTCATAGATGTTGGCAATTAATTCAAATTTGATGTGGCCAATAGAGTGCGCATCAAAAGCTTGTGAATAGCAAGTTTGCAGCTTATGTTTTATACCTTGCTTCTTTTCATGCTTACAGTTCTACCAGCCCAGAAGGGAGCAAACTGAATTGCTTTTTACTTACTACTCTCTCAGAGGTAAGAGGACCCTTTCAGAAGTTTAAACATGGGAAGTCAGAAAGGAATGCACACCTTGGCTGGGTTGGGCTAGGAATTGTATACACTTTAAATCTGTTGTCACCATATCCCTATGAGGTGGGCATTAGCCCCATTTCACGGATGAGAAAATAGAAGCTTAGATTAGCAGTAGTTTGCTGAAGGTCTTACAATCGCAGAACTCCGATTTAAAGCTGGATTATTTTATCCAAGCTTAGTTCCTCTCACATTCTTGTGAAGTGGGAAAGAATAATATTTGCCTGATTCCAAAGCTCATCATCTTTCCGCATTCTCCCTTGATAAACGTTAAGCAGTCAGGGAGTCTTGGAAGTTTAGATCGCCAATTAAGTCACCAAGACGCCCGTTCGAAAATGAGGATTTCAGAGCATTAATGAATGTTTTGAGCCAGGATATATTCGGGGCCAGAAATTAATTGCTAGATCCTAAAGTTAGATTTTGCCCTACTATTGTGTATTTTATTTGAGACATATTTGAACACCAATGTTGATGTTAAATCATAGTTCTTGCAATTTGACTCAAGTGGAGAAATTTCTATAATGTTGCATCAGAATGCCTCCTGGGTAAGTATCCAAAATCCCAACTTAATCTGCTTAAACTACAAAGGGAATTTATTGTCTCATGTAACTGAAAACTCCAAACTGTGGTCAGGCTTCCAGCAAAGCTTAATCCAGTGGATCAAGATGTCCCCGAAGTCCCAGGTTTCGTCTGTTACCTCCTAAACCAAAAAAATCAAACCTGTTGCTGTCAAGTCAATTCCAACTCATAGCAACCCTATAGGGCAGAGTAGAGTAGCCCCATAGGGTTTGCAAGGCTGTAATCTTTACGGGAGCAGACTGCCACATCTTTCTCCCACGGAGCCACTGGTGGGTTCAAACCGCCAACCTTTTGGTTAGCAGTGGAGCACTTAACCACTATGTCACCAGGGCTCCCTCTATATCTCCTAACTGCTTTCTAAAATGTTGGCCTTAAAGATTGGGTTCACATGTGTTTTAACATAGCTGCCAGCAGCTTCTTGCTTGCATTCAGATGGGGAAAGAGAAAATTCTAGTAATTTCTGTCACAAATCCTGTTGTGTGCCATCGAGTCAATTCTGACTCATAGTGACCCGATAGGACAGAGTAGAACAGCCCCCGTAGGGTTTCCTAGGCTGTAAATATTTACAGAAGCAGATCGCCAGGTCTTTTCTCCCACGGAGCCGCCAGTAGGTTGGAACTGCCCAGTCTGAAGTCAAACACTTAACCATTGCACCACCAGGGCTCCTTGTCACAAGTCCTAGGAATTGCTTTCTTTTCTTATCTTACTCTCTCTTCATTAACCCTTTGCCAGAGGGATAGGATCACTTATTGGATTAAGATAATCAGGGTCTACCCGTGGATTTGGGGGTAAGGTTAATCCCATACAAACTTCATAGCTGCTTTAAAATAGAGAGATAAATTCAGCTCCCCTCCACAAAAAAAAAAAAACAATCAATGAAAGATAGGAGAAACGGGTGCTGGGAGGCAACTGACAGATTTCCACTATAAAAACCAACCTGGTCTGTGACTATACAAGCAATACTATACTTCATACTTCATGCTTCCTCTAGTATCAGAAGGGAAGGGAAGTTACCTCATTCCTGAGAGACCTGACTGGATATACAGAAAAACCAAAAGAAGGATCTTGCTCTTTTTGTTTTATTGTAGAATTCTGCTACTGTTGTTTTTGTCATTGTTCTGAAGATTTGAGGAATACTGGTCATAGCCATGTTGGTTTTTTCTGACATTAAATTCTCAAAAATGACAAATCATAAGTTATCTCCGAGGTTCACCGTTCAGCCTGGGAGTGGACAGCCCCGTAAAACCAAATGAGACTAACGAGGTACAGGAGTCCAGTGACAAGGGCCAGAAGGCAGAAGGGGACAAGGAAGCTGGTGATAGGGAACCCAAGGTTGAGTAAGGATATTATTGATGTGTTGTGAGATTGTTAATCATTGTCATAGGGCAACATTTGTAATAACTGTTAAATGAGAAACTATTTTGTTCTGTAAGCCTTCATCTTAAGTGAGAATAACAGCAAAATTGGAAGAGCGTAGTCAATGTCACTGGACTGTGCATGTAGAAATTTTTGAAATGGTGTATCTTTGGCTATGTGTATTTTCATCAAAAAAAAAGGTTGACAAGTTGAAGGGTTGACATGTTGTGGGGTTGTTAACCAATGTCATAAAACAATATGTGTACTACTGTTTCATGAGAAACTATTTGTTCTGTAAGCCTTCACCTGAAGTACAATAAACAAAACAAAACAAAAATGACAAATCATCACGTGCAGGGGACAGCAAACTGCTGCTGTTTTTGTAAGGTCCATCAGCTAAGAACGGTTTTTATATTTTTATAAGATTATAAAAACAAACAAAGAATATGCAACAAAGACTATAAGTGGCCACACAGCCTACAGTATTATCTGGCCCTTCACAGAAAAAGTTTGCTGACACCTGATCTAGTTTATAAAAGTAAAGTTTCTTTACCTCCTAAATAATTAGAGTAAAATAACAAAGTTCAGGGGATCTATGACTCTTAAAACCAAATTTATGGGAAACTTATAATAGGATTAAAGTTTTTGTCTTTTTCTCGATTTGACCAAAATAGTCCTTTCAAAATCCTAAATGAAAATATCTTTCATCTACTTAACATTAACTTACATACTTCTCATTTGGTGGGGGTGGGTGGAGGTGGTGGGGAGAAGAATGTGTGGAAACAGGTGATAGAAGATCAAAACCAGACACAGTATTGATTCTCCATAAAAGGCCCTCAGTTGGCTGATTCTTGGCCGAAGTCATGGCATGAAAGTGAAATTAGATCCCAAGTCTGCCAAATTCCAAGTTCTGAGATGACATGTTTAATGACATCATAGAGAAGCTACCTGATATTCCAGCCAGGATCCTGTAATTGATAAATACAGTGGACTAACGGAGCCAAAAAGAGATTTTCATCAGCAACTCCCAGGTGTAAATCATGATACAGATTATTAAAAACATGGCAAGTATTTATTTGGCTTCAGTGAATATTTCAAGAGACCATCTTGAGAATAGATTTGATACATTTTAAGAATTATTTCCTCCATCCAGTATTCTTTTGTTGCTCTGTACCAAGGGTAGGTTTTAAAATTCCTACTCTTACTCCTCAGGTTGGTTCTTCGAGGATGGCACTATCTGGAGCAGTAGCCAAGGGACAAATTGATCAAAAAGAGTTTTGTTCCTCTCTGACTCTTATTATCTTGTCTGATTCTACCTGGATCCAGGCCAGCTCCTAATATGTCCTGTGCCTGATCCCACTGATGTCACCTTAGCTGTAGTCCTAGAAGTCTGTGGAGTTGAAAGAGTTCAGTCTTTCTCTTACCTAGGGAAAAGAGAGACAACTTCAGATATGTCTATGGCATAGGGTAGAAAAAATGATGGCCAGTGTATCAGCAATTCCTTAGGTAGATATTTTATAAAGCTGCTTTCTATCCATTGACCAATATTATTGCCACAACAAATTTAAATACATATATAAGGCAGCAATAATTTCTTATTTTACAAAGAATAAAATTGCCTCTAAAATAATTTTGATAATTAAATCACTAGCTAAATTCTGTTTCAGGATTTATTTATTGACTATTTCTTAAATAATCAATATTGACAGCATCTAGAGTATAATACGAAAAATCAAAGTAAATATCTGATTAAATCTCAGAGTACCTGTATTTATCTTATCTTAAATCACATTTCTTTGTAACCATATGGCTACAGATTCAGAACTGGTTCTTACCTGTGCTGATAATTTATGATTCACTCTTATGACATGCTCTTTAAAACACTATCGTGTAGTTGTATTAAATTTGTCTTAAGTGAAAACTACTGGAACTAATAGAAGATTTCAGCAAAGTTTCAGGATACAAGATAAACATACAAAAATCAGTTGGATTCCTTTACACCAACAAAGAGAACCG